TACTATTAACATTTTAGAAATCTAGAAATTTAAACATGAAGATTTAATAAATTTTTGTAAATTAATAGGTTAAAACAATATATTATCATCATTAAACATTTACATTACTATCATTTCATAATGTAAATTATATTTTTTAAGGACATTGATGAAACAGTAATGGAGAGACTATGGGGTCTCACAGAGATGTTTCCCCAATGTGTTCGAAATGGTACTTGGACCGTAACAACTGGGGCTCTCTCAACTGCAAAGGTTTTGTACAGTTTTAGTCGTTCAGCATTATGGATATTTTTTTCTTCTTCAGCCATATTATTTGCTCCTGTAATATTTGAAATGGAACGAATGCAGTTACAAGAAGATCAAAGACAACAACAAAGACAGGTATAATTAATTATATCTCTTATCTGAAATAATATCATAAGTAGGTAAATAATAAATTTGATATAATAATTTAATGTAAAAAAATTAATTTAATATTTAGTTATTAAATTTTCTGAAACTTTAATAATTAAATAACACAATCTGCTTATTGTAATCACTTTGGGACTTACCCATACTGAGACTAATAACTGACTGATAACATTAATTAGTATGATTACAATTAATGGACATTCTGATTTTATTGAATCCAACACAAATGATTAAAAATATATATAACTTTTAGAATTATTAATTATAATAATTACTATTACTAACTTGCATGTTTTGTCAACATACTGACTTTGATAACATTAAATGACTCATAACAATATTCTTGATTACAATAAGCAGATTCAATTGTGTTAATGAAAAATGTATTAAAATAGCAAATAAAGAAAATCCTTGTTCATTCGAACTTGGATAGTTCAAAATTTTATTAGTTCATAACTACTTTTGTCCCAGTTATGGATATAGTTTTACATGTTAAGGAATCAGTTAGTTTTAAATACAGCTACTTTGAAATTCAAAATTAAAATTCTATCTGAATCATGATAGACATAGACTAATTTGTTTGTTTAGATCAAGGTGCCTCCATGTTATGAGAGCAACTCTAATCTGGTCAATATGGCTTTGCTTTTACAGTAACATATTTTCAGATGTCACCTTACACACAGACTTCTCTTATTTTCCCTTTATCTCATAAAGTAAGGCTGATTTTCGCAATTGCAAGATTGGGCTACGAGTAGCAGATTGAGATATTTTTAGGGCTCTAGGCTACTACATTTGAATGACTTACTACTTTTTGGTCTGCTTTAAAAATAATTTGGACTACGTTTTGAGGAATTCTATTTTACTTTTTGTAAAACCTATGAGGTTCTCACCAGACACATGCTATTTACCTGCAGTTTATTTATATTATTATTATTAATAATTAATGGAAATAGCATTCTGTATAAGTAGCTGTATTCCATTTGCTTAATAAATTAAATCAATTACATGGCATTTTGCATATTGTACAGAAATATGTAAATCTCAGATAATTCAAAGTCACAATTATTTCATCCCTTGACTTTTGAACCAACATGGATTTCCTGTAAATCTTAGAATAATCTAAAATTTAAAGTTATCATTATATGACATGTTATGTTACACAGTTTCAAATTTTTTTATATTTAAAATTGTTTTTAATTCAGTACAAAAATTTATTATTATTTTTATTAAATAATTAGAAACAATTTGAAAATATTTTAAAACTTTATTTGTAATTAAAAAGAAAAAACAGTCAGTGAATTTTTGTATTATTTTAATGATTTGTTTATATTTAATCAAGAATAAGGAATCATTTTTCTAATTGCTATATTTCAGTGTTTCTTTGACTAGGTGAATGTGAATACAAACTTTTTCTGTTTTGCTTATTAATATATTCAATACAGCTAAATAATGCTTTAAAAGTAATGACTGAAATGAAAATAAATTATAAATAAGGAATGTGGTAGTGAATTTTCAAAAAAAAAATTGAATTTTTAGACAGATTTCTGCATATTGAATATTTAATAATGAACTAGCTGATGTACGAGATATTACTTCAGTTATTTTAATAAAATATTGAACAAGTTTAAAAACTATGTGTGCTTTATTAGTTGGTGACTATACATTGAATGATTGCTTCTATTACACACACACACTTATTTAGTGTAATCAGTTTTGTTTTATTTTGTGTTATAAATTTGAATAGACTTGTTCCATCATATTTTACAGAAATGTTTGCATAAATTATAAAATCTCTCACAAGAAATGAAAAATGTAATTTTTAGTACAGCAATCTTAGAAAACCATTTAAAATGGTATATTTCATGAGGCAGCAATAATATTTCAAAGAAACATTGAAAGTAGATAGGAAATAATATTAGTAAAATTATTTAAATACAGTAGAGCGTCGATTTTCCGAATCAATTGGGGACTGGGGTTGTCCGGATAACTGATATTTCAGATAACTGATTTACGTACGAAAAAATAGTTTAACGTATCCGATTTTGAAATTTTTCTCCGTTGTGTGTCGCTTTGCATTGAATTTTCGTCGATGTTAAGCCTAACAAAGACTATTGTAGCGTTAAAAATTATTTTTTTTATTTTGTACAAACAAAATAAATATATTGAAAAATATAAAAATAATAAAAAATTATACTTCAGATGTTAATTTAGTATCAAAAACGTAAAATATTTGAGTAGCCCAAGACATAGCCAAAGATTGAAG